ACTGCTATTTAAATAAAATGTAAACATATTTACAGTTGCAAAATAAATCTTTGAAACAGAAAAATATAAACTGGTAACTGAAGGAAAGGAAAGTAATTGTATTTTGATAATTGGGAAAAATAATTGTATTAAGCTTTCCACATGCTTTAGTCCGACGAATAAGAATGATTACATTAGCAATGGTGGAAGATTTTCTTCTAAAACTTTAAAATGAATTTAAATACAGTTTCATCATTTGCATTTTCAAATTTCAGTCTCCGTTGCATTTAGCTTCTTAATTTCTCCAATGCTATTCCTTTTTCTGCTTTTTTTTGCAGGTTTTTAATTTGACTGATAAAATAATTTGAATGTTCAGATAATCGAACAAAGAATCTCTTTTTCCGTACAACACTGAACAAAGCAAATCATTTTTCAAATTTCCGGCCATTCAATTTTCAGGACTTCTGGTCATTCAATCAAATGGTGTGCTTAGCAAAAATAAGCTAGCAATGTCCGAAATTAAACTGTTTCGTATTGTCCGAACTTTTTGATCGAATAGCATACTGTAATGACTTCCTGACAATTATGTCGCTTTATATTAATTACAGAAACTAATCATGATTTTATACAAGCACATTCACATGGTAAAATGAATTGTTGCAGTGAAAGTTCCGAATAATATAACAACAAGCAAAAGTAAAGTGCTTGAAATGGATATTAAAATTTATGAACAGAATTTTATGTGTTTGACAACTACAACAGTTCTTTTTTTGCAATGGGTCACCTTCTTGGATTCAAAAGGTCAGTTTCGTGACTTCTGACATATCTCTGATCAATCGCGCTATTTGTTGCATTTTTGACCAGCAAAGTAAAATGATATGAAATTATTGAAATCTTAAGCTATCATTTAGTCAGCGTTAATTTTATTAAAATTAATAAATTTTAATTACCACACACCTTTTTATATCACCATTTATATTGTTAACTTTTAACTGTAACCAGTTACTAAAATTAAAGTAATTAAATTTGCAAAAAAAGTTCAAAGCTAATTGTTGTTAGACTATATTTGTTTCACGGTTCTAATGACCGTTAATTAATAAGATTTAGCAGAATGAACTTTCAACTGGTCTCTTATTAATGATTAAGCATATGGAATTTAAACTCAAAATGCAAACTAAAAAAAGTAAACTGAGTTTCAAACACCTTAAGTTTCACTCGATCTGAATCAAATTTCTATGTCAAAGTTTATAATTCCTTGCTAATTCTTTACAATATTTGTTTTACAAATTTTCCTCCGATATTTCTTCGAAATTTCTGCTGTGCATTTTATCAAAAGTAGTATTTTGTTCAATTTTAAAGATCGATTTTTGATATCTAAAAATCAGTGAAGTGCAGTAAAACTAATTTATGATCACAATGTAAGTTGTAAAACGATTCCGTTTAATTTATTTACAATTGTTATATTTTGATCATCCATTAAAGTGTAACCTGAAAGTTGCTATCAAAATTTCCATTTTCAAATTGAACTCACTTATCATTGCCGAAAAGATCACAATGAGATGTTGAAATTTTTGATTTCAATGTCAGCTCATTCAAATTTATGCTGTTCCACAATTTTCACATTACGCAGTTGATCACCATTCAGTGTTATGCAAATTGTTGGCACTGCAACACATACACTTCCTATAAAGCTGTTCAGATCGCAATGTATTATAAATGCCTGGATAATTTGGAAATTTTTCAAAGATCAGTTCACTTTCATTCATTTGATGCATAACAAAAACGAACATTTAGAAGATTTAGTTCGAGAGTTTTTCGCATTCGGCTCTCTGAACGAATAGAGTTTAATTGTTCTTTCCTGTTGATAAACTGTCTGTAAAGCGTTTAAATGACACGTTCGTGAAATTAAGGAGAATTTTAAACAGTAACTTAATAGATCATTCTGAGAGATTCGCTGCATAATAATCGCTCAAAAGATCATTCGAAAAATCCAAACACTTTCAATATTATTTTGAATTTTGAGATGCATCATCACTTTCATTTTCATATTTTCAAATGAATTTCATCTTGAATTAAATTTTTAAATGGTTGGATATTTTATCAGACAGTGATATGATTAAAAATTTGTTAACTGAAAATAATTTTGTTTAAGCAACAAAATCTTAAAAACCAAAGAGTTCATCAGAATTGACAAATATAAATGTTACACAGCATTCCAAATTAAAAGAATGAAATGAGAAAGGAAACAATTAATAACTGTTAATTAAGGATTTGTAGTTAAATTAGAAATTGACAGATAGTGGTATCGAGAAATAATCAAGCTGACAAAATCTACTAATTGTTGTGTTATTAATTAAAAGAATTGTTGCACAATCATGAAGGAATCAAATTTTGGTGATAATTTACGAAATCTTTTGTCATTTAAAGATATAATTTTTACTTTGTACGAATAAAATTGTACCGAAATATAGAAAACGTAAATTTCAAATCGTTCAGTAAAATTCATTGTATCCAGAAAATGATTTGATGCTGCTAAAATAATTTTTTTCTTTTTTGAATAAAGTTTTTTCCCACGAAATAGAAAGAAAAATATAGAAATATGGAACTTCTGCAAAATTAAATTTAGGATAGATGATTATGATGGGACAGTCTTGAAAAATGAGCAAAATGAAATCAGAAGGTAAAAAGGGAAGAAATCATTGATGGTAACAAAACGGAATTTCACTCATTTGATCCAAAGTTTTTGTCTTGTTTGATCTTATAGACGCATTACAGTTGTGATGACGAACTGAATTTACTCGGATCATTACTGTCAGAAACCGGTTCCGTCACCCCTAAAAATTGAATGGGAGATCTGCCACATAATTCTCAGTAACGATTTCTAGAAACAATCGCACCAAACATTTGTGAATAATTCACAAATGCTAAATTCAAATTTTTTGGTCCTTAACTGATTGAAAAAATTACGTCATTTTCTACAAAATTTCTACAAAATTGACCAAAAAATTGATCTCAGAACTTCGAATGATATCTTCACTTAAGCATGCTTTGTTGGTTAAGCGTTATGCAAAGTAGTTTACCTTTACATAACTGATTTAATTCAACTCTAACACCTCTAAATATCTGCAACAGTCGTTAGCCGTCAATGTTTAATTTAATTTCAACTTTCAAATGATTGAAATAGATAGAAATATATGTTTGTAACAATCGGAATACACAGATTGAAATTTTGCATTCATTTTATTAACAAGAAGAAATTATGGATTCTTTTAGATTTTTCATTTCAACAAAGAAAAAATAACAACGATCTTACGTATTGATTAAGTTATAACCTTCCCAAGTTTTTTTCGTATCAATTCTGAGAAATAATCGATATGTACATTTTTTTCCTGCGAATAACTTTGATCAACTTTGTTCTCATTATATTCAATTGTGAATTATTTCCAATCATTAAAACTGCCTAAAAATATTATTTGTCAATTATGCGTAGCTGAAACTCGTTTTTTCTTAAAGTATGCTTGCATCCGATATTATGAAATTCTTTCAAAAAGCAAGTTTAAATTTTTGAATGAAAATGATTGATATAATGTCGAAAATGTGATTAATTAGAACTTGGGAATTAAACATGAATAAACAGTTAACAAACCGTATCATAGCCATAATCAACAAGTGTATCAGATAGTTGGCCAAATATGCCACATCACTATAGCCAATAGAAAATAAAGATACCAGAAAATAAAGATACCAATATGAATTATAATAATATTTTGTATAAAACAATTGACATTTAATATTTTTATATAAAACAATTCACAATATAAAATATGCAAATGTCGAATCTTACGAAAACTAATGGAATTGCAAATGAACTTGAAAAATAATAATATAATTGTGAAGTATAATTAAAATGCTATCCATTGGATTGCTTGTAAACTAAATTATAGTTATCTCATTTGAAAACGATGAAAGAAATGATAAGAAAATTCTTTCTTGTAGTGATTATATTTCCAAGAATTGAAAATTCATTTATTTTAGAGATTTCAGAGTTTAGGCCAATTTTGATTGTACAATTTAGCGATTGTAATTGTATTAGACTAGTATGAGGAGAACTCGTACATGACAGATACAATAAATTTTGTAGTTTTTATGTTGTTATTTTTCAATATAAAGCCAAACAATAATAATTTGACGAACTTGGAATTAAGTAAAAGACAAATATTATTTCAAGGCTCAATGCTGCAGCATTTTTTTTTTCGAATTCAAATTCATTTCTTTTAAGATTTCATTTACAAGTTACTCTGAGTGAAAATGAAATTTACTAATGAAATTAATATCAGATAAAAATGAACAGACAAATAAATGATTGTCCTAATGTTACTATTATTTGGTCACAGACAATGTACATGTTTTCCTAGAAAGTAAAGTTATAAACAAGGTCAAATTGATATTATTAAAGAACTATGACATCAAGGAACCATTCAAATATCATAATCATCATTTATAACTGTACAGAACATTAGCAAGATTAACAGCTGGGATATTATAGACGATATGTAATAGTTTCGGAACATTTCTTGAAAAGTCTCCAGTAACTTGTTGTCGTACTAAAATGTCTGAAGTAGAAGTGTTGATATGATCAGGGATAGTTTAAATGAAAATTATCAATAAGTCGACGATTTTATCTCATAAGGTGATAATATCCATTGTTGACACTATAAGAAGAAAGAGAAAAGTTCATCACATTCTCATACTCATATCAAGCAGAATATGTTTGTTCCAAAAATATTTATTTGACATAAAATAATACTGTTTGCTTTGATGATAGAGCTTTTCCTGGATTGAATTCATCCTCATTTAAATATATGATATTGTTGCAACACTGATAGGTTGCTGGGCACATTTTTCTAAAGCAACCGATGATCCCTATTCTTCATGATGATCAATCTGTACATGCATCACGTTAAATTTTATAAATTCAAGCATCGACTGTCACAGAAACACAAAATTATTTATGAAATAATTCATATCACACAACCACATTCTTCAACTTTGACATTTTTTAAAGGAATGGATCGCTCCATGCCATTATCGTACTGCTCAGCGACCTGAAAAAACAATTAAACGATAAAGAGATGTGAAGGATAGGCTAGCAATAAGCATAGAAAAATTGCTTTGCTTCCAAGACTTTGACTGGTTCTTGGACTGAGGCATTACAATGTCTTTCGTTATTTCACAACACTTACATTGATAGATGTAAATTTAATCGGTACACAGCATACCCACTTGTTTTTGAATGGATTAAAAGGTACATTTGAAATTTTTATTGCTTGTACTAAAGCATTGCGATCGTTTGTAGCGGGAAGAAGCGTCTGATCACAGATCCCATCACAAAAATTGATCAGAAATCTAAACTCGTCATTCAGAATTAGTTCAATTAAATGATCACAAATTCTTTCTTAAATTTTTTTTTTTGCAATATATGATTCAGTCATCAATAATGTCATTAATATCGGATATAAGGATTTTTTTACTGGAAATGATTAGATGGAAATACCCATCCGGTGCTGTTATGTGTTCTAAATTGCTATTTCGGAATTGAAAATATCGCGTTTTGAGGCAGCACTTTCGATTTGAACAATTTTCATCCCTTCGAGTTTTACGTTTTCGGCGAGGGTTTTGCTGTATTTTTGCTTTTATCAATAGGATTGGACGTATCGATTTTGGGCATCGGTTGTTACAGCGTAGCTTCAAACATTTTCAATTACATTTTTACTTTACAAGGAGAAAGTTAATTTGACAATTTTATTATTTCTTCTTAAATTTTAACCATTTGTTGGCAGTTTAAATATAATCGTAGTTTTTTTTTTTAATTGAATAAATGTTGTTCAATGACTCCTTTTATTACCAGTCTACCTCGAAATAAAGAATATCAATAAATGAGAGTTACTCGGATTATAGTTTCATCTGTTTTATCCTTTAACCATTTTGCCATTTGTTTGCTCAGATCAAAAGTCGCATAACTTAGCCTTGCTGGCTCGATATCATCGATAAAAATTCGTAAATTTTTTCTACCCACAATGTTTAGGTCGATTATTGTCGTAATGAGGTGAACATCTCTTCCTCGTTCATTAAATATTGATAACAGCCATTTGAATTGGAACTGATAACAAAGTACGTTGGTACCGGTGCATGCTAAATTTGAAAGTAATCACTCGTTACTGTAAACTCTGCGATGAAATTTGAGCATATTATCACGGAATAAAAATAGCAGTCCAAATCCGATAAAGTATAAAAGAGTTATCCCTTTAAAAAAAAAATCTTCGCTCATATTTTACCTTTAATACCTTTAATCATTGATCGATATTTCGTGAAACCATCGATAGTGTTATTCGTTTCAATCACAACATTTCTCAACATTGAATCCAAATCACTGTTAGCTGATAAGAGATACTAAAAGAGAAAAACGAAATGTCTAAGAAATTCATTTATACAAAGTAATCATTAAAGTGATGTAAAATAAATTTTTTTTTGAACCAACAAATGCATCATACCTTTACTTATACATTGATCATTTTCAATTAATTACCCAAATTAATACCTTTATTGGTTCGATTAAGTGTTGCTTATAATGTTCAAGCACAAAATCCTCGTATTCCCACACCGATGACATATTCTCATTCTCCGATTCAGCTAATATCATCGTATCATTTATAGCTATGAAATTCATAACGAATGCTATTTTACAAAGCACACAAAAAATCGAAAACATTTATTATCGTTTCTTTCAAAATGTATTCAATAATAAAAATTGGCTGCGCTGTTCATATTTCCGCCCATTTTATTTGTTAAATAATAATATCACAGACATTTTTATTTTCAGTTAAATTTTTGGTAACGCAAAACGATTGCAATTGACGCATATTTTGCTAACAAAATTATTTTAAGATTGGAACAGATAATTGCAACTTTTTCTTGCTAACATAGTTTTCCTAAAAGTTTTAATGTTTGCTTGTTGCTTTAAAAACTACAATCATATCTTCGACATGTCCAAATAATCATACATGTGTATTTTTTATTGAAAATAGTTGAAGTGCACTTAATTATTAAAAATAATGAAATATTGTAAGCACAGTTATTAAAAATTAAGTTCAGAAAAAATGAATACATTAGAAATATAGTTTAGGTAAAATTTTCAATATGCAAATTTAATTTTATTGATCTGTAAGATAAAACAGCTTCGAAAGCTATCACAGATAGTGCTTAATCTAACAATACTAAGTAATGTTTGACCTAACAATGCTAACTTTAAGTAATGCTTAATCAAAATTAATTTCAAGTCATGCTTAACTTAACAGTACTAGCTTTAAGTAATGCTTAATCTATAATAATTCATGTAAAAAATTACTGTGTGTTAACATGAACTTTGACTTTATCAATTAATTTATTCACAAAATAAAATATATAAATGTAAATGAATAACAATGAAAATAACAAATGCAATTATGTTTATTCATTTGGTTGGAGCAGTTTCCAACATTTCGTCTTTCTGCATATCTGCTGGAGTAAATGTCGTCTTTGTTGATGAAACTTCTCCTTGTTTTGCCTGAAACTTTTCAATTTCATATCAATTAATTTAATTAATAAATTTGTTTGATTCTTATCGCAATTGTTGTCCTTCAAACTCTAACATATGATTGAAGTCAAGAAGTTAAAAGCAAAGAACAAGGAAAATATATTAAAAACCCGATATGCAAGCTTTTTTCCATACTCAGCTATTAAACCAACAGCTAAATAATTAAATAATTTTTATTGAAAATTTAAATTTGAAGAATTATGACACTAACCAAACATGCATAGCATATTTTATGGTTTTCTTGATAGCATACGGAACAATATGCAGCTGGGCAATTCAAACAATTGATCAAATTTCTCTTGCGATGCTTCACTTCACACATCAGACACATTCCGGTTTTGAACAGGAAATCCACAATTTCTTCCACTATCGTATCGGCAAATAATTTACTGAAATAAAAGTGCTGTTCTGGCGCTTTTCTTCAACGCCATGTCATGTCAACATAATAAATATTGCAGTGATTGCTATGCTCTAAACATTAACTGACATCACGTAAAACAATATGCTAAACATTTACGTAATATTTACGCAACCGTGAAAGTCAATCGATGGCATTGGGTACATTTAAAGAATTAATCAATAATATCTGTAATCAAAAATTTAACTACATCTAAAGTTATGCAATTTCGTTGCTACGTAACAATCAATTACCTTTTTTTTTGGATTTCTTCGCGTTGTAAAATTCTGCGCTCCACTTGAAAACGTATGCGTGCTCTTGCTAACTTCCGACCGTTCGTACGTACAAATAACATTTTATTGTAGAGATGTATGATACGTGCTTTGTTGCGTTTCCGGAAAATATTTCCAATTACGCAAAAAAGTGTGATACGTTTAATCACATAACCAAATATAACCTGAAATTATTTAAGTTCCAATAAATTCTTTGGAATGTGTTTGAAAATTGCTTAGTTCAAAACATTATAAAATTAACAACAGCTCAAAACGAATTAGAATTTTAGAGGAAATTCTGTTGAAGCTAAATCACTTCAGTTCATTTTAGTTCAATTTACATCACTTCACTCCAACTCCATTTATTTTATCTCTTTTTTGAAATCTGAAACAAACACTTTTAGAAAAGTTTAGACTAATCTTAAGAAGTGGAGGATTTCACATACCTGAAGAAGAAACATAATTCCAAGCGGGAAGAAAATATATTTTCCGGCATATCGCCAATCCGGTGATACCGGATTATAAATGCATTCCTCCAGCGAAACTGTCATGTTTCTCTGGCTCTGATAATCAAAATCGAGCATTTCTTTTATCAAATCAGCTATAAATCCAGTCCCGTCAATCTGAATGAAACGATTGATTCTTCCATGTAAACTCCAGGATGGAATCGACGACCATAAATAGTTTCAAGAAAAATATTATCAAACAGTCAAAAATATTTCATTTTGTGATACAATAATTTTAAAAGGTTAATCTGTTCAAACTTTTTAAAATGATACTTTAAAGCTGAAGAATTGTTGATCCTGGCTTGTTACGTATTTTGACGTATATTTAGAAATCTGGAACAAATATGGATTTGAATGGAGTAAAACATCTGAATAAATCTAAAATTTTCATGAATGCAACATTGACTCATTCTTCTGATTATAAAATGATGAAAAATTTTCTCTATATCTAAATAAATTTCATTGATATGTCTGTAATGGAAACCAAAATTTACATTGTAAATAATTCTGTGGAAGACAAAATCGACAAATACAACAAACGAAGCAGTAACGAGTAAAAAAATGAATTTTGCAAGTGGTAACCACGAAGCGCGTATCTCTGCTTTTGTTGGAGGTCTGAAATTCTTATTTACTTCAAAGATAAAAATTTAAATCAATGTTTATTTAATAAATAAAACTAACGTGTGGCGATGAATTATAGGTTTAATCAAAGTATGCAAAATTTCAAGAGCAGTTTAAAAAGATTTTTTTTTCCAAAGAAACTTACGAAATTGGTGTCATTAAATTATTTGCATGCATTTCAGCTTTACTTAATGGATTCAAAAATATTTTTCCTTCATTTTCACGTCTACGATCAATATGCCAAAAATAGGGTGCCAAATAAACATTGTCAAAATCGATATCATTCAAATAATTACGTATCATTTTGACAGAATCACGAAATATGGTATAAATCATAAGAACAAACAAACAACCCAAAATTTGTTTTAATGTTACCAATATAATCTGCAAATTTTTTTGTAATTACTAAAAATTTGTTATAACAAATAAATGTTAAAGCACGTTAATTTTTAAATATCATCTAAGCGTGTAATGATTTAAATTGAGCATAATCATATAATCAAACATAATTAATTTCATTCCCCCTCTTCTATGCATCATTTTAGTGGCAGTTATTTAATCATAAATTATCTGTCATTCATATTCTTAAAATTTGAAGGAATAATACTGCATAACATTGATTTTGATTTTTTTTTTTAAAATTTACTTTTAGTAAGCGAAAATTTTGAGCGATTCGATATTTCACTTCTTTTATTCCATAAATTCGCACATTGCGAGGTTCAACAATTGCTCGATAATGCATCTGAAAATATCCATCTCATTTATTATTTAAAACTTCATTGAAAAAATTATTAATTTAAAATAAAAAAGTTTTACATTGACGCGGAGATGATCCATAATATCTTCGGTCAAATTATGCGCATCTGTTAAATCACTGTCTAAATTTTTCGTCCTTGATAACACCTGATTGGTCATTTGATCACAAAATGTTACCGCTTCAACTACCTTCAATTCATATCATTTGCAAATGATGAAATGGAAAGATTAAATTTTCGCACTGAAATGATTCGATTAATCGATTATTAAATAGAAAGATAGGAAATCCTTAGTTTTAGTTTTTATCTTAAACCTAACAATCGTACATTCGAATAAACACAAAGTATTCGTAAAATTAAAAAAAAAGTTCAAGAACCTTTTTTGAAACTTGACAAATTTGAAGGGTGTCAAATTTATCACAAATGTATCCTCTGAATAACGGTAAAAACCATAAGATGGAGTAACATTTATTCTAGAAATGTAGTTGTTTCAGTATGTATTAAATGAACTCTTAAATTATTGTATTTCCTATCATTGTTTTTCGTTATTCAATTTATTTATAAAACAAATTTTACACTGAAAAGAAGTTTTTTTAACCGATTTTTAGACATATTAAAATACTTCTCACAGCTAAATATATTTCTTGCTAATTTTTTTCACATTAAGTGATTACTTTCATTTCCAATATACCATTTTATAAAACGACAAAACTATACTTTCATATCACGAAATGTGTCATGGCACTTCTTCACTCCTTTATCAAACACTTCGTTACACTGATAATGCATACGTATTGATAACAATTTGGAAAGCTAATAATTCCAAGATGAAAAAGGTAATTAAAGGTTAAATTCAATTTGTTATCAGTGTAGTATCATTGTTGCAAATTATTATCATGTTTTTGTGATTGATTATTATCTCATATGTATTTTCCTTATTTAATTAGGGTATTTAAAAAAAATGATATATTCCAATTATCATTCAAATTGTCGAATGGATTTCAAAATTTATAATTTTTTTTCTTGGTGAAATAAGTCTCACTTTTGACTTCAATTTATTCCAAGCTGGTGCCGCGGATTTCTGTATTTTATTTCCTGTATCGCCTTTTACATCTTCCGGTTCTTTATTGACCATTGCATCACGCCTTTGTAGAACCTTAAAAAACATGGTATGCCATCGTAAATTGAACAGATTTTATTTTAAAAAGTTACAAAGTGATTTATTTTAAATTTGATGACTAATTAAAATTTTAACGCTTCCAATTTATAATAAACTTCTATATACAATATTTAGTAGTAATGCTGAAATGTTCGCAATCTTAATGAGAATTATTTTCTTCTTGATGAATAATTACTGTCAATCATTTATAATTGTAACTGAAATTTTTCCAATTCACGGTCAATTTATTTTTGAATAATTTCGAAATACTGAAAGAAAAACGAATGGAAGATTTCGTCGTGAAATCTTCAAAGGAATGATTAAATTATTTAAAAGATTCTTCTTTTTTATCAGATTTTTGCCTTGGCATAAATATATTTAGTGAAGAAAGTAAGTTTTATTTGCTCAACCTCAGCAGCATCGATTGTTGCTGCCAAGGCCTTGTCTTCATCGCTTAATGTGAATTCATACTCGATTGGCTCTACCAGCGATTTTAGCATTGCTATTACTTTTCGTCCTTTTGAAGTTGATTTACCTGAAATCAATTATTTTTTTTCTTTACAAACTAGAAGATGTTCCATCTGTTCCGAAATGGATAAGAATCAGAATGATAATTTAAAAAAAATTTTATATCAATCATTCCGGATGATAATAATTCATTAAAATTAAATTATAATTTGACAATAAAGAAACTGCTAATTCATAACTTCAGATTTTCTTCAGATTTTCCACACATTTCCAAATTTTCAACTTAACAAATTTTTCGCTTCCACAATATTTTTGTTGTGGAATAGATCACCTATCGTCGTTAAACTCACCAAATTCTTTAGCCATGAAACTTTCAATTGGGCCAGTAGACATAACAACACGTTGTGTCATCATGTCTTCTTTTTGTTTGATATGACAGGTAATCATATTTGTACTAACTTGAAAATTCTGAACGATATTCGCAATCGGACCAGCACTCAAACTATTGAAAACTATAACTGTCAAGAGGTTTTGACCGTTTTTACCCAAAGCGCCAAAGAGGACGCAGATAACTGCGCATCGAAATAGCTGTAAAGAATACAGTTATTGTTCTAATTCTTCTTAACCTAATAGATTTTCAATCTAATTTTATTGGAACTTCATTAAAATTTGGTTCCTTGTTTGTAAGTTTAAAAATTATGTCAATCTAATCGCATTAATTTTTTGTTTGCTGTAAAAATTTGGTAAGAAATAAGAAAGCAGCACCGGACTGATTGCAAATGTTATTGCACAAGCCAAAATAAGTGACCATTTTAAGATCTGTTCCGCAACTTTATCAAACTCAGCAAAATTAATTTGATGCCAAGCTAGAAAGCTTATTGATATTCAGTGATTAGGAAATTAAATTGCCGATTTCCTAGTTAGAAGATTAAATTGAAATATTTACCATTTCATAACGAAATGGTAAATATTTTAATTTAATTTTCTGATTAGGAATCAATTTTATCAAGTAAATTACTTCTTAGCTAAATACAACAAATACTAACAATGAATGAGACATTGAACTTTGATAGTGTCTTAATATGTTTCAAAAAGTTTTGTAGGAATTTCGACTGAATTGAAAAAAAAAAATTAACGCATTAACCAAATTTGTAGAGCAAAGAAGCGATTAGAAATCCAATAGGAAAATTAATTAAAATTCTTAGCCAATGGTAATCGTAAACACCACTGTAGAAGAAAATATCAATAAATTTTGAACGGCCAAGTCGAATTCTTCGCTCTTCTCGATATGGCTCTTTAAGTAATTTGTCAAACATTTCAAAACAACCGAGTGCCAAATGAAAAGTAATTCGATAACAATCATTTTATTTTTCCGTTGCAATATATGAATTTAGCTACAGCCATAGAAACAAAAATAGTAAACAAATCAAGAAATAAAAGTTTTCGTGACAGAAAAATGAGAAACTTATATAAGAAATACTAATTTTAAAAAAAAATGCTGTCCTAATAATTTTATCACATCAAAACTATACTATTTTCAAAAAATTGAAATTGTTGTCATTATTGAAAGCAGACTTTCTGTAAACTAATCTGCACGTGAATTATTTTTGCAAATTTAAGTGGCACAAAACGTTTGCTAATATTACAAACTTTTCTAAATTTTTGCAACCAGATATAAATGAATAAAAATATATGCTTTTGATTCACAGATAAATAGCAATATTGATTGATGATAAGATCAAATTTATAATGGTGACAACAAATATAATACAGACAGTATAAGCTAAAAAATCTAAAAAGCATTATTCAGTAAAAAAAAACTAGAAACTATACAAGTTTACCTAAGAATTACCACATAAACCATAATTGTTAGTGTTACAAAAAAGATAGGGATAAGAATTGTTCCTTTTTCCGCATCCTTAAAACTTGCATTCTTTTAGCAGAAAGTTTAATGGAAGTAATAGGAGTAATTAAGTGTAGACAACAGGCCGTATCAGAATCATTATTGTTTTCGTCATTCATTGCAACAACTTTTCTAGAATGTCTCAGTGCTGCAACCTTCAGGAAATGAAATTGATATGATCAATCATGAAATTATCTCGCTTAATCCATATACTGTTGGGAAGATGTGCTCAATATTTCATATTCTAATTTCTCTTGCATATTATTCACAAGCACTGTTTACATGTTGCAAAGGCTTTTGAAGAAATACTTCAATTGTAAAGAATTTGCTGTTTTAGACTAAATGTCCTTTGATTTTTTCCTTTTATCAAATAATAGCAAACTTGAGATACATGAATGGCTTCTTTTCTTTCAACTTGCTTTTATACCATAATTTGCATGCCAGCAAGCAGACTGCAAATTCTAAATTGCACAGCCACATTCCATCACTTTCACATTTTCCAATATACGATCAAATTCAGTACCATTTCTTTCTTCCACAATCTGAAACGTTGCTGTTGCCATTTCTTCTTCATTGAAAATTGCAACAAAGCTTCACTAAATGTTCCCGAATGAAGCAAACCAGTGACTAGCGTATGTTGACTATAAAACGGTCTTTTTAAACTATAAGTTTCGCGACTGTACTTTATTCTCGAACTTAAGATTTTTTTAGGTTCATTGATGAGAGAAATTGTTAACACATGGAACATATTAATACATTTTATCGAAGTAGTAACAGTAATGAAGTCATACCTCAACTGATGACCACCTAGTCGGTACACAACAAGAAAGTCTTTTCAAGAACGGACTTTCTGGATGATTTATTCTGTCTTGCAAAATTAATGCATCACGATCGTTAGTTTCAATTTGTATGTTGCACTCTCCGTCACAGAAATTCATATTGAATCTATAAAAAATCAAATTAAAAAAATGATCATATGCAAATGGAAATTTTAGAGACAATAAACATTTGATCTAAGAATGAAGCATTGATGTGTGTTTTTTCAAAATTTTTAGCCTGTGATATCGTTCTTTTTTTCTTTTGGAGACAATTGCATTTAAAGAAATAATTTTAGTTCTTTTTTCCTTGTAGATATAATTACGTTAAAAGAATTTTTTCATTCATTAAAATTAATGAAATCAATTTACAAACCCCGATGGTCTGATGATATTGTCCATACCGTGTTCATGGAAATCAAAATATATACTTTTCAAGCAACACAATCCCGCATTGCAATCCTGATCAGTAGCTCTTCTTTTTCGGACATTTCTGTGTCCTGTAAAAATGTCGTGGCAATTGCGTTTGACAACTCAATATTGTGCATCCGGCAAAAGCACTGAAGGTCTTTTTTGGATCTCCATAAATTTTTAACTTAAAGTCTGAACAACACTCTTAAAGGTCTCTGGCTACTGTAACTCTTACAGAATTATTATAAATTGACTGTAATTTTCTCACCTATATCACCAGGGGTGGATCTGCTACTTAATCTGGCAAATGCAACATTATGTTTGCTATTGTGATGAGTTGGTGTTAGACGTTTCTGAAATAGATTTCTTCAAATTTTAACAAATTAACGAATAGTGCATGTACATTCGTTAGATGAAGGATGATATATTTTAGCGTTAAATTTCATTTCACTTCTCCATTATGTATGTTTTAAAAAAAGATAAAAATTAAGAAAAAAACGAGCAGATTAATGGACTGTCTTATATTCAAAGAATTTTTAATGTAGATCATTTTCTGGTTAGAAAAATCTTGACCTTATTAATCAATCGGCTAGCAAAAAGCAGTTGTTCATTTACTTCAAACAAGTAATTTCCAGAAGAACACGGCACTACCGATGGTGCTAATGAAGACATTGGAAGGTTTGAAGATATTAAAGATGATACGATCGATAATGGAGATAATGATGGCGATGATTGTTCACTGATTCGAGAAGCAAAACAAACAAGGATCGTTGCTGCGAGCAGACTTGGTTCCACCGGAAACCAATGAAACATTTATTACTCACATTCAAATAATTACATTCACCTCATACATAAATATGGCTAATCGAATGTTGACGACAGGAAAAGAAAAAAAAGGCTACCCGGCGCCGATTTGTTTGAAAGTTTGTTTGTATTTATACCATCATAATATCACCTTTCCTTTTTTCCTAATGATTTCTCGTGAAATTACACCCGAAAGCAATCTTTCCTTTGTAAAATAAGAAAGCTAATTCTAAAAAAAGAAGTTCGAATTAAAGTTTTAATTTAAACTGACGTAATATACTTCAAAAATTTAGTATATGATTCAATTTGTAGAAACAAAATGTTAAGATGATAAAGTAGACTCGTCCTAAACGTCGTGAGACATTAATGACAACAACCGCATTACTTATTTATAATATCAGTTCCTATCATCAATTTTACAATCTATGCATGTTTGGCGGCAGAGCCAATTAATAAAGCACATTTCATTCAAATAAGTTATTTTATAGAAAATAATTGTTACTATGCATTGTACAGTACACTTTTACATTACATCAAACAATGAGGGATTTTGCTGACATATCGAATTCGCTATCTGAGTGAAGCAAGTTTAATACATTTCGAAATAATTATAGTACTTGGCGTGATTTACGCCACCATTTCAAGCGTATTTTCTTAATACCTGTGATGGTGACAGCATATGTAATCAATGATCATACTTCTCGTCTTTTTATTTCAATGTTTTTTTTCCTTAATCGAAAAACTGTTTTTCTACCGTTACCGCAAATTTTAGGGATCGCCAAATACAACTAAAGTAGTCAGTAGTTTCAATTCAATTAAGTTCCTAATTTATCTCAAGTTCTTAATTTTTCTCGAACGTAATGATTATTAAGAAGTGTTATTCTTTTGGATTTTCCAATTTATTAATCTTATAATGTATATATTAAATTTCGAAGATAACCAATAAAACAGCATTATTCATCTATTTATTCATTTGTGACAAAGTATTTACTTATTACTTTCTAATCTCATAATTAGTGATGCAATGTTGCGACTTATTATTAGAATATCAATAATCCAATTTCCTGTTTCCAGTAAAAAGACAGATGTCCTGAAGCATCGAAAGACAGATCAGCAAACAGTAGCAATGAATCTCACTGCTACCTCTGTCTCTCTCTTCCATATTAGATTTTGTCGGCCTTGGCACTTTCATAATGAACACCAAATAAAAGTTCATTGATTTGAAAGAAATGCTCGACATTTAAACTTCTTCGTAAACAGCTGCATGATTGTATTACTGCAAAAAAAAATATAAAGTTCCATAAATGTCGAGAATACTTAAATCAATCGAAAAGAAAAACTAACCGATTATATCGGTTCCCACGGGAAGATATATAAGATTGTCTCTCTTTTGTTGCTATACTATTATCAATATATTAAATTACCCAGAAAAATTTCTATCACTTTGTAAGTTACTAATGAATTAATATGATATACAGACTGAAATATTTGAAGCTCAATATGTGCATTCAATGCAATCTATTTCATTTCGTACTTTTTTTCAGTCTTCCAATTTACATGCATTCCAGTCTTTGATTTCATGAAATTTCGAAGTTAAATACCAGTTTAATTCAGTTAAATAAGCAATATTTTAGAATTAAGCTTGATCCTTCTTTAAACTCTTTTCAACCTTCCGAAATTCTCAATTCTCATTTTTAGATCAATTAATCTAAATAGCAAATTGTCAACTGTTTACTTATTGTTTTCCCACATTATCTTCGAACATCCTCTCTCGGCTATTCCAATCACATTATATTTGTATACTATCCGTCTCTTACAATTTCATCCATTCCTGTTTTCTATTCAAACAAAATACTATTCATGTTTCACTCGTTCACAATTCAACAGTATTTCCAAATTTTCTTCAGTCCCATAGCACAGTATTTTCCATGGACATTACAATCTCTCGTTCACTCGCACAGTACAACACACACAGACATACCATTCTTTCAACAAAAGAATTATGTCGTTTTAATTTACGAAGGAGTAATTTCCGCAGTAAAAATTAACGCCCTTCCCCCTAAAATCACGTAAGACGCCTACAAGTATCATATGCAGCTCGTCTACGTACCCTACACGTCCGAATGCCGTTATATGAATACGAAGTATGGACCAAATCCGGAACAAGGTGGTCTCGCAGATTTCGTGGATCAGTCCAACTTTTTCCTAATTATTTAACTTTTTTTATATTTTCATTCCTTTTTGGGGTACGTGCTATGTGAGTTGCATGTTATTTTAATGATTACTTATTACTATAGTGAAGTTAAGTTTTGGTTATTACTTTCACATATAATATGCAGTTCTCCTATTGTTGAAAATATCATTTTAGATTTCGTCAAAAGATTTTTGGTTACTAAGCATTTATGAATAAGATTTTATTACTGTACAAACAGAAGAAGTTTCGCGTGATCCTTTCAATAGAGAATATGCGCTTGAACTTTATTATTAGTGACGTAAATAAATATACTCTTGTAAAGATTAAATAAATATCCTCTATATATCATATTAAATCGATTTATCTGTCAGGATCCCGCTATTAAACTTATTGGCTTTTTTCATTTTTTTTTAGATTATGCAGCATTTATCGATAAAGCCAGTACCCTTAAATAATCTTTTAAAACGGAAGGAAACTGATAAAGCTGGAACGAATTTGGAAAACCCATCGAACACATTTCGATCTATTCTGATGCAAACAAGTGCTTTACATGATCAGAAAGGTACAGTTTATGTTGAATTTGGTTCAACGAAAATTATTTGCTCAGTTGATGGTCCCAAAGAAATAACGAAAAGTGTCGATGTTGATCCGACGGAAGGACAGATTTGTGTTTTTCTGAAAAATGTTTCAGCGGAAAGCAGTGGCATCACAGGTATTTATTGTATATTATATTCTTTTTCCTCAGCTTTTTAAAAACTATAAAATTTAAATACCGAAGTAAGTAAGTAACCAATTCATTAAATTTGTTCCAATTATGAAAAAAGTAACATTTTATCCGAACAGTTAATTGTCAAGAAGGAGATAGAAGTACGAATGCCATATATATTATGTTTTCTAAAATATACCTTCCCATAAATTTCCATTCTTTGATGACATACATTTTTTCCTTTGTAGTGGAGAAAATTTGCATCACTCTATTATTAATCTTTTCGAAGTCTAACATGCTGTTTATGGTATTTCTTTCCACTAATAGCAGCAGATATAATGAATAAAATTAAAAAGAAATATAAAGTACATATAACTCCGAACAAAGATAGGGAGTTAAGTTATAATATGTTAGATTGATGAAATAATGGTTTGATTGAGAATTGATAAGTATTTGGTTGGAACAGTATTAGTTATTCGACGTTTCAATGTGCTTATCTGAATTTTAGGTCCAAATTCTTCCTCAGTTTCAAGCAGAGAAAATAGTGGAATGCGTAACGCCGTGGAGTCAGCGTTACGATCAATTGTTTGTTTAGAGTTATTTTGTAAAGCGCAGATTGATGTTGAAATAACGGTTCTCAACGATGATGGTGGTGTTTTGGCAGTTGCTTTGATAGCTTCTTCTTTGGCTCTAATCGATTCTGGTATTCAGGTTTATGATGTTTGTGTAGCAGCTCATATTGTTATGTTGGCAGATGGCCGCATTATTGTTGATCCATCAATTAGCTCGTTTCCGTTGTCCCCCACAGTTGATTCAGAGGAATTCCCTAGCAATGCGCATCTTTCAATTACTGTTGGCATCATGCCGTCTCTAAATCAGTTGGCATATTGTGAATTTGTTGGTATTGCAGAACCTGACCAATTAAGACATGCTATTACTGTAGCTGTAGAAAATTCATTGAAGTTATATCCTTTGGTACGTAAAACACTAACCAGCAAGTGATATAAGATTGATACTGCAATTATCGTAGACGGTTGCATCTTAGTGGCCTCTCGCTAATCATTCAATTTTTCTGCAATTTGGATAATGTATGAATTGTGTTCCTGAAGAAAAAGTTGAAAAATAGATTTAATAAAATAGCTTTAATAATGGGTTAAGGATCATATCAAAGTTCGTTTGTGTTTTCCGATCTCACTCTGTTACAGATTTGTGTGATATCATTATTTTTGCTATTTGATAATTGATATGATTGTACCTTATTAGCTTCATTCCTTTTGGGCAATAAGAAAATATTGTGTTTAATGCTACTACAGTATTTCCCTAAGCTATGTGGTTGAAGCTTTGACTGCAATCTAATTTAGAAATAAATCAAAAGCTAAATTGATAAAATTTGCTTAAATTTTTCTTTATTAGTAGTTCAGTGACCTGAAACGCTTTGCCTGAATAAACAAACAATCAAAGTAATCTTTTCTGATCTACAACATAGTATATTATTGATCCTAGAATTTGTAGTAGTGGAAATTTATTGATTCAGAAGGTGGAGCAGGAAGTCGGCCTTAAATACATCTCACTGATTAAAAAAAGATTCTCTTTTTGGTTTTGCCACTGAATTGTTTTTTAAAAAAGTAAAATGATATTGCAAAATTGATTGCAGTATTATTCAATTCGTGAGATTTTGTTATTTGGCTTTTTATCTTGCCAATGTGATACAGAAAGAAGTGATAAATATATACGAGTGATGATAATCCATTGATAGAAATGTGCTGGCACTGCTGCATTTTGACATACTATCGATAGTTTTTTCTGTGTGTCGTAATGTTTCCTTTTTTAGACTTTTTCATTTGCAAGAGATGAAATAATAATAATGGGATCAGTTCTCTTTGTTTCCCACATTCTGCAGTTTCCTTTTTTTGATGTCGCGGGACCGACAAACAGCAGAAAGTTCGTCTGCTCCCGGATCTTTCCGGAGTGCGGCACCTCAAAGTGCTTGTTATGCTCATCGGCCCTTTCGAAATACTCCAAAAAAACATCTGAAACTCCAGAAATCATTACCTATTATTGACATTGCTAAAATCCAAGATGCGGAATACAATAATGTCACTGTTTCAAAGCTCACATCAAGTCCAAATGTAAAGAAAAAAGGTAAGTAGCGTTGTAGAGATTGGGATAATGACAAATTTAATAGAATCATCGTTATCATTTGTTGTTGGTGTTATAAAATATGCTTAGGGTGTCTTTTTGACGGGATTGATTATGGCTGATCCAGTAATTAGTCATATTTTTGCTTATTTGACAGTTATTGAGCCCAACAATTTTAGTTGATATCGTAACGCACAGGTTTATAAAATAGACTGCCTTAATTTCTAACCCCTTGTAACTAACTATGTATTTTGGTGACCAGCCTTTCGATTATACTTAAAACCAAAACTTAATCACTTTTATTCCGATGAATTTCTCCTCCGATATTTTTTCATTATAGATTTGGCAAAAGATAATAATGATCCTATTTCTATACTGTCGCTGAAGACTTCGAAACGGAAAGTCTGTAAATATTTTGCTGCTAAGAATTCGTGCTATTTTGGAGAGCACTGCCGATTTTTACACATACGGACTGAAAATAGCGATAGCAATTCTGATTCTATTCCATCACATGTCGGCCTTAAACCTGCGAGATTCATTGTACGACCAAATATAATAAAAATTAATAGAGATGATATTGGAAAAGAGAAACAATTAAATGTCCGAGATTCTGAAATCAGGTATTTTGGTCGAAGATTTCGTGACGCAAAGTTTACAAACGAAGGCAGTTCATATTTTACTGAATTCGAATACAAAATCACAGATCCTGAATGGGTTTGCTTTTCTTTCTTGGACTTTCTTGGGATATTTCTATTTTACAGTAACCGAGTAGAATTCTAACAACGACCAGCTTATATTTCTTTCACTTTTTGTATTCATATGCCATCTCTCTATGCTTCAAAAAAAACTTTGATTACACAAAAATCTTTACAAAAAAAAATCTACTAAGTTTAATATTTCTCCTCTTGTGAAACGTAGAAAATTTATACGAGTTTTCAATTTCATGGAATCATGTTTTAGGTTTTCGATGTAAAATCTATAAAACTACAACTTAGGATTCCAGAGCATTATCCATGCGAATCAATTACAGTGACTTTGAATGAATCAACTTTACCTCTTCCACTTGTTAAGTACTTCAACAAAGAAGTTAAGAAGTTCCTCGAGGTTATTATTTTAGAAACTGATGAATCATTTGAAAGGAAATTGGTTGGGTTGACCAAGCGAAAATGAAGTAAAAGAAAGACAGATTTGTTTAATTAGTTGGCTGTTAAATAAGCATATACATGGAAATGCAGACCGGAAAGATCAAAACTGAGAAAATTTTAGAAATTTATTAAAAATAACACTCAATTGTGTTCCAGATATAAATGCTTGATTGATTTTAAGTTCGACTTAGCTTGTATATTTTTATACTTTCTGTTCACATACACACATAATATTGCAAACTTAGTTGATTTAGATATTCATATTCTTGTTCAAAAGAAATTAACTTTGTCTTAATGACAGGAAAAGTTTATGGAAGCAGAAAAATGCAATGCTTATGTCGCTCTTGGCAAAACTTTTATTCGTTGGTTAGATCGTAATATCTTGGAATTTTTTATCGAAGGTTTGCGAAAAACAAAAGTGATCATTGAAGCTGAAAAGGAAGGCATCAAGTTGCATCATGCGAGTTTTTCAGACTTGACCAATGAAAATGAAAATAATAATCTAGAGGTATCGCTTCTGAATTATTCCGGCAAGCAGAAGATTTGATCTTTCAAGGAATCGAAATTTTGTTTTTTCTAGATTGACCAAGTAAAAAGAATAGTTTGTGATAATGACGAAATTATGCAAGATCGTATCTATGATGGGGCAGAAATTCAGCTTCCATCCAGGATAGGAATCGTTACGGTAAGGTTTGAAAATGAAAAGAATTGGTGAAAAGTTTTCGATAGTAGAATTACTATATATTAATTTTACACAAATAACAGGTACATAATTAATTTATGACTTGAAACACTACTTAGCTTATTTCTAGACTCTCTGCACGGTATTATTTGAATTTTCAATTCCTTACTTTTTATCTGAAGCTTCTTGCACCGCTCTTTATATGTATTTATTTTGCAGGAAGAATTTAACTCTGAACAACCATCAAAAGTGAAATTCATTGAAGTCCGTGTTTTTTGGAACGATTTGAGTGGAAACATTGCTACATTATCTGTTGTCATAATGGCTATAAGCATTAGATGTGCAAAATGTGC